TAGTCTGAGGCCTACCTAGAAAAGAAAAAGAAATGACATTTTATGAAAGTTCTTTTAGTTCCACATCTGTGTAATATTCAAGATAAATCTTAGTGTGGTTTCCCTAGTCTGTAGTATTGCCAAGATCTCATTACAAACTTACATTTAATTTCAGTTGTATTTTGTGACCTTGTTTTTGGGGGATTTGGGAACAGGCCTAAGAACATCCCAGTGAATCTTCCTGTGGCATCTTCTATTAAACACACACCTCCCAGTGCAGCCCATCTCACAGAAGTTGTAAGACTGGTTCTCCTGGAAACTAGGAACACAATGTAACTGCTCTGGTAGGTAGGCTCTGGCTCCAGTCTTACTGGTTTTCAAAATTGCAAGCCTAATAATTTCTCTGCAGATGACAGATTTACCCCAAACAATTGGATTTAAAATGTGTTTCCTGAGCTTCTCTATGTAAAGATTTTGCTGTTACACATTGTGGAAACCATAAGCAGGTGAGCTGTGTAGAAATGGTGGACGCTTTGCAGTAACAAAATTTTAATCTGCAAAACAAATTTTCTAGGACAATAAGGCATCTTAGGGAAAACAGGTCTTCAGGACTGAAATCAGGTCTTTAAGGAAAGGCTTTTACCTCTGGTGCACTCGGGAGAATCCATCTCTTGCCTTTTCTGGTTTCTGGAGGATACCTATGTTCTGTGACTTCACTGCCGCATCATTTCCTCACTACTTCGGTTGTCACTTTCTATTTGCCTTTTCTCATCGTAAGGATGGTTGGCCCACCTAGATAAGCAGGCTTCCTTTATATGCAACAATGTACACAAGAATTCCTTAGACTAGGCTTGGTCAGGTATTGTGAAACAGTTTCCTCTGAGATTGAAACATTCTATCCTGCAGGAAAACTCCTTAATTAGGAAAGTAAACAACTCAAAATAGCTTCAGGAAGTCCCTGAAACTGACCAGGTTCTCTAGGTCCACTTCCTGTCAAAGTAAGCAATAGAAACAGAGTTGCTAAAGAGATTCTCAGACAAGTAAGCAATAGAAACCGAGTTGCTAAGGAGATTCTCAGACAAGCCAAGCTGCAAAAAAGACTGACCCCCAGCCCAGCTGCCTGGAAGATGGTTAACACCAACGAGGCACCAAGAAAGAACACTCTCCAACCTGATGACTTGCCTATAGTCTGTGCAGTGAGCTCAGGTTTCCAGCTTTGTGAGTTGTCACCCATGCTGGAATGGGCTTTGCTAATGCAACTGTCTTTACTCATTTCTGCTTCTATAAGAAGCCCCTCACATATATTCCGTAAGTAACTCCAGAAAAACTCATCGGCTTACCAAATTGGACTTTGGTGGTATCCCTACTTTGGTCTGTCCTGGGCTCCCTATCTGGGGTGAGTAGGGGTGTGTGTTGTGTCTCCCCAGGAAAAGTTTTATCACACAACACATGCAAGCAGGAGGACCCCATAAAGAACTGTATTTCAACTACCTGCACATTGTCACTGAACTCTTCACTGTCTGTGAGCGTGACAGTCCTCTGGTCAAGAATCAGTCTGAACTCCAGGTTCTGGGACAAACCATCTCAATTTGTTTTACTTTGCTTTAATAAGGTTACTGTCCACAAGACTGTTAGCAAGACAAGAGCAGCCTGCAGAACTAAGGACCACATTCTCTAGTGCTCCACTCCTAGGCTATCTAAACAAATACCACAAACCATCAGACTCTACGTTGGTGCTGCCTAATTGTTGTATCTGTATTGACTTTTTCCCTTGATCCAAAGCATTAGTCCAGGTACTAAGAAGTATCAGAGTTTTCACATCCTTTGTCATGGCCTGCAAGGAGGAAATCTAGGACAGTCTTACTGGTCACAACAACAGTGAGCTGCAGTCAGCTTGAATACTCCCCCAGGCTAATGTGACATCATTGATCATTCCTGTTCAAATAAGGCCAGATTTTGTTCCATCTCTTTCAATTGGATGTTCACATTGTAGGAATAACATATACAAGAATCACATAAATACCAACCAGCCATCCTTCTGAGAAGCTCCTGAAGCAATCCTAACCAGTCTCATTTTTAGACAGTTTTTTTTTCAGAGATCTGTTGAACTCTTGGAGCTCTCATGACTAGCCCTAAGTCACTGTTTCCAGAGTGGGGTGTTATTGCTGACTTTTGTATAATACAGTGCTGGTGATGTATGTGGTGCACCTGAAAGAAAATGTTAGTAATTATTAGAGGCCAAAATTGTGACCTGCATCAGTTGGGAAGTACAGGCAGGCAGGACCTTCAAAGTGGTTGATCGCTACACCTTAGTTTGGATATTCAGTCTAGTTCTTGTTTAAGGAGAAACTGCCTAAGAGCATCAATTCAAAATATGGTAACTGTGCCACCCAGTAAGTAGCATTCATCTACCCTACAGAATGGCTGGCAAAGGGTAAACAGTGATGCTAGTGGGAAAGATACTCAGAAGTGTTGACTGATGCTTTGCTTAAGAGGGGCAGGAGTTAATCTATTCCCTGCTGTCTTACTCTCCTATGTACTTAGTGGGCAGGACTCAAGGACTGTCCCTTATTCTCTGAGTGACAGTCATCTTCAAGAAACTTGCTGCAGTTTGTGCTCACTCTTTTTGTTTTGTTTCTGAGACAGGGTTTCTCCATGTAGTTTTGGTGCCTGTCCTGGATCTCACTCTGTAGACCAGGCTGGCCTTGAACCCACAGAGATCCACCTGGCTCTGCCTCATGAGTGCTGAGATTAAAGGCAGGTGCCACCACTGCCCAACTGTGCTCACTCTTAGGGACAGTTTGAGAAGACTGATTATGTGCCCAGAGCTGTCTGATGCATACAGCAGACCCAGCCAGGTCAGGAGAACCTTCTCAGAAGACTTCACTGTCTTCTTAGTTAGGGTTTCTGTTGCTCTGGAGAGATACCATGACCATGGCAACTCTTATAAAGGAAAATCATGCAGTTGGGGTGGCTTAGATTTTCAGAGGTTTAGTCCATTGTCATCACGGCAGAAAGCAAGGCAGGTTGCAAGCAGACACGGTGCTAGAGAAGGAGCTGAGAGTCCTGTCATCCTGACTCGTAGGCAGCAAGAAGTGGTCGAGACCTCAAAGCCCACCCCCATAGTTACACACTTTCTCCATCAAGGCCATACCTACTTCAACAATGCCACACCTAATAGTGCCACTACCTTTGGGGGCCATTTTCTTTCAAACCACCACATTCCACATCCTGGCCCCCACAGGCTTGTAGCCATATTATAATGTAAAAATGCATCCAGTCCAACTTCAGAAGTCCCCATAATCTATAGCAGTCTCAAACTTATTTAAAAATCCAAAGTTCAATTTCTCTTCTGAGATTCATGCGATCTCCTTAACTATAATCCCCTATAAAATAAAAATCAAAAAGCATATCAAATACTTCCAATATATAATGGCACAGGATATACATTAGCATTCCAAAATGTAGGGCAGAGGGCATAGTGAGGAAATAGTGGACAGAAGCAAGACCAAAACCAGCTGGACAAACTCCAAACTCTTTATCTCCATGTCTCTTTGGACAAACTCCAAACTCTTTATCTCCATGTCTGATGTCAAAATGCTCTTCAGATCTCCAACTGGAAGTGTGATCCTAATTATTTTTATCAATAAAAATTAGGAGTCAAATATCAGGATAAAGCTGAAAGATCAGAGAGGCAGGGCAGCAGCCACTAAAGACTTCTTACCTCTCCAAATCCTCAGACCAAAAAGGGGGTTAAGATCCTGTCTCCTTATATTCCTGTCCCCACCTCCCAATTGTGCTGGAATGAAAGGTGTGAGCCTCCCATGTGCTGGGATCAAAGGTGTGAGCCTCCATCACTGCCTGGCCTCTATGGCTAACTAGTGACTAGCTCTGCCCTCTGATCTCCAGGCAAGCTTTATTTGTCAGAACACAAAATATTCCACAACACCAACTTCTTTCAGCTTTGTTGACTGCAACACACTTCTTTCTCTTGGGCTGATTCCATTCCCTATTAGCAGTTCTCCTCAGCAGGTAACCCACAACTCTGGCATCTCCAACATTTTGGGATCTACAAGGCAATCCAGGCTTCAACTTCACAGCTTCATGCAATGTCCTCCCTAGGCCTCCATTCAGGGACACCTAAGACACATGCCTGGCCTCAGCAGCTTTCTTTAGTCATGGAGGCAAATTCCATAACTCATTTCTTCTATCTTTAACTCTAGAACCATGTAGCCAAAACTGCCAAGTACTGCTGCTTACTGGGGCTCAAACATGGCCCCCTTGTTCATTTACATCCCTACCAGCTTTCTGTTTTCCATCATTTCCTTCACAACCTAAGCTTGGCTGTTCTGGAACTTGCTCTGTAGACCAGCCTAGCCTCAAACTCAGAGATCTGCCAGCCTCTGCCTCTGGAGTGCTTGAATTAAAGGTGTGCCCCACCACACCAAGCTCCTGGCTTTTCTTTAGTACCTTTTCACAAGTTGGAAACTTAGCTGGGTAGAATCTTGCCCTGAGGTCACTACCCCCTTTATTCCATTTCTTAATCTATCTCCTTGAACACAGGATTTAACTCTATTCCACTATCTGGTGCCCCTTTTCTCAATCTGTAAATTTTGTATTTTTATTTGCTTAGCTTGCTCCTTTTCATTATAAATCTTCATGAGAGTTAACACTAATAATCACATGAGAGTCTAAACAAGGCTGTTTTGAGATTTTTCTCTCCCTATAAAATTAATCCAAAATTTTCCACTTTAGCCTCAGACAGACTTTTCAGAGAAGGGCAAAAAGCAGCCACTTTCTTCACCAAAATATTGTAAGACCAATCTCTAGACCACATAATAACAGTCTTCTCCTCTGAAACCTCTGATCTCTACAGTTCAAATCACTTTTAAAAAATTATTATTATTATTATTATTATTATTATTATTATTATTATTATTATTTGGTTTTTCGAGACAGGGTTTCTCTTGTAGCTTTGTGCCTCTCCTGGCACTCACTCTGTAGCCCAGGCTGGCCTTGAACTCACAGAGATCTGCCTGTCTCCGCCTCCTGAGTGCTGGGATTAAAGGCGTGTGCCACCACTGCCCAGCTTCAAATCTCTGTTAACACTACTGTCTTCCATGCTCCTACTGGTATGGCCCATTAAGCAGTGCTTAAAGCATTCCACTGTTCTCCTAATCCAGAGTACCAAAGTCCAGATTCCTCCAGACAAAACCATGGTCAGGCCTATCATAGCAATACCCAACTCCTGGTACCAACTTCTGTCTTAGGATTTCTGTTGCTGTGAAGAGACACCATGACCATGGCAACTCTTATAAAGGAAACAGTTTGATTTGGGTGGCTTCCATTTTCAGAGGTTCAGTCCATCATCATCATGGTGCGGAGCGTGATAGCATTCAGGCAGATGTGGTGCTGGCTACATCTTGGAAAGCAACAGGAAGTGGACTAAGTGACAGGTGACCACAGCAACTCTTATATAGGAAAACATTTAATTGAGGTGGCAGCTTACATTTTCAGAGGTTCAGTACATTATCATCACAGCAGGGAGCATGGCAGTGTGCAAGCAGACCCGGTGCTGGAGACGGAGCTGCTACATGTAGATTTGCAGGCAACAGGAAATAGACTGAGGCACTGGGCATGGCTTGGGCATACATGAGACTTCAAAGACCCTCCCCCACAGTGACATACTTCCTCCAACAAGGCCATACCTACTCTAACAAAGCCACACCTCCTTGTAGCACAAATCTTAAAGGGTCTTATGAATAAAAGCATGAGAGCCAGATACTGGGGTGAACACTGAAAGATCAGAGAAACAGAACAATCCACAGCTAACCTCACCTCACCAATTCCTCAGCTGATCTTATTTCCTCAAACTGGAAGCCTCTGAGTCTTCATCTGAATGGATCTCAGCTGAACTGCTGCCTGAAAACTAAAAGCTTAACCAGGCCCTAGTTCCTGGTCCTCACGCCTTATATACCTTTCTGCTTTCTACCATCACTCCCTGGGATTAATGATGTGAGTCACCATGCCTGGTTGTTTCCAGTGTGGCTTTGAAATCACAGAGATCCAGATGGATCTCTGCCTCTGGAATGCTAAGATTAAAGGCGTGTGCTATTACTATGTTTAATATTGTGGCTATTGTGGCTATTCTGCTCTCTGACCCCCAGATAAGGTTATTGGGGTACATAATATATCAATCACACACACACCCCTTTTTGGGTTTTTTTCAAGACAGGGTTTCTCTGTGTAGCTTTGCACCTTTCCTGGAACTCACTTGGTAGCCCAGGCTGGCCTCGAACTCACAGAGATCCACCTGGCTCTGCCTCCCGAGTGCTGGGATTAAAGGCGTGCACCACCACTGCCTGGCGCTCCCTTTTTTTGTTTAAAATAAAAAAGTTATAACAAATATAAGAAAAAATATATACAGTCAAGAATTACATTAACAATGTCTAGTCCATTCACATTGGACAGATTCAGACAAAAAAAACCTCCATTATATACATTAACAATGTCCAGTTCATTAACATTTGACAAATTCAGACAAAAAATTTCATTTCTTATTCTATTTAAAACAAGTAGCTGTTGTGTGGCTATTCTGTTCTCTAACCCCCAGATAAGTTTATTGGGGTGTACAATATATTGACCACACCTCATAACAGTGCCACTCCCTATGAGCTTATGAGGGCCAATTACATTCAAACTTCCACCCCAACAGTTCTGGATTTTCCAAGTAAATCTACAAGCTTCCTATGCCATCTCTTTTGTCCTTATCATTACCTCCTAGGAAATGGTCAGGAAGAGGTTATTGTTTTCTGAGGACAGCCATATTTAGTGACTAAAATATCTAGTACCAAAGTGTGTGAATTGAAAAATGATGAAGGTAGAATGTGAGGTGGTTTTGATCTGAGATGATTTTGATATATTGTGAGGCCCCACAGAGACTCCATAGTGAGGTCTTATTCCATCTTGACTCAAGGTCCGAGCTTGTTTTACCTCCACAAGTCTGCATAACAGAATGTTTTGCCAAAGGTGTGGTTACCCAGTGTCTTGAGTACTAAAGATGTATTTACACTTGTTCGTACTTTGAACCGTGATGTCCTTGAAAGGGGGAGGTCTTTTGCCCCACTTGCTTTGGGTATAAAAAGGCTGTGAAAAAATAAACTCAGGGCAACGTGGTATTGACCCAGAGCCCTCCTGATGCTATTCTGTGTCTCTGTCTTTTTCTTTCACATCTACATCTGTATTTTTCATATCGATTATTTCTCAATCCACACTCTCCTATACCAAGAACTGTCCAAAGGTCAGGCTGGACTCAACAATATATCTTTCAATACTGAACAATACCACATGCTGTAGCATGAATCTTAAAAGTTCTTATTAATAAAATCAAACCTGAGCCAGGTATTGGGGTGAACGCTGGAATATCAGAGAGACAAAACAGGGCACAGCCACCTCACCTCACCAGTTCCTCAGCTGGTCCTGTTTCCTCAGACTGGAAGCCTCTGAGTCCTCATCCAGAATGAATTTCAGCTGAACTGCTGCTCAAAGCCTAAAAGCTTAACCAGCCAAATGCTTCTAGTTTCTGGTCTTCACGTCTTATATATCTTTCTGCTTTCTGCCATTACTCCCTGGGATTAAAGGCTTGCTTTCTGGGATTAAAGGTGTGAGTCACCATGCTTGGCTGTATCCTTGAACAGATGGATTTCTGCCTCGGGAATGCTAGGATTTAAGGCGTGTGCTACCACTGCCTATCCTAAGTATCTAGTGGCTTTTCTGTTCTCTAACCCCAGATAAGTTTATTAGGATACACAATATTTTGGGGAACACAATACCACCCCAACATGCCAATGATTGATGGGGAGTACAGAAGACCACTAAGTACCTTGACCACTGACACTCTGGGGAGTGACCTTTGCAATGAAAGATGCTTCAACTGTCAGACTGTGAAAAGCTCACAAAGTTAAAAAAAGACACATTAGTGTTAAGAGCCACAACCATGTAACTATGTGGTTAAAAATCAACTGATTGGGGTGGAGTAGAAATACATAAACTGAACAAATATCAACCAGAGAAGAAAATACCTTTATCCCTGAGGGACTGCCAGAGACCTCTGGTAATCAATACATTAAGGACATGATCCCCTTCACTGAGATAGATGTGTGAGCTTTCATCAGGAACCACAATATGGTCTGCATGACAGCCAGTTCAGCAGATACACTGATAGCTCTATGCTCAGTCTGTGATGATGGATGGTTATTGGGCCTAGCACATCAATGTACACAGGCAGCAATTTTGTCTGTTGACGTGCATCAGCAGCTTGACACACCACTCAAATTCATCAGAGAATGTAGTGAGTCTTTCTCTGTCCTGCCTGCCAGCTCCCAAATAACCACATGGAGACTTATTATTCATTATGAAAACTCAGCCAATATATTAGGCTTTATTCTAACTAGCTCTTACTACTTAAATCAACCCATTTCTATTAACTTACTTTCTGCCTCATGGCTTTATTATTTCATCTCTGTATTTCTCATCCTGCTTGCTTTTTATTAAACCAATCACAGTAACATATCTTCACACAGTGTAAAGGAATATTCCACAACATTTCTCCCTTTTTGTCTAAATAAAAAGGAAGGGTTTTAACTCTAACACAGTGAAACTATATACAATAAGAACAATTATCAGGTGATAATTAAATTTACAATATCCAGTCCATTTGCATTTGGCAAATTTAGAGAAAATATTCCATTATCTATCCTGTCTTAGTCCAAAGTTTTATACCTAAACCATTTTTATCATAACTTGTATTAGCATCCTAAAAAATATCTTTTTAGACCTTAAAATATTTTTTTAAATAAACAACTTAAGTTTTTATGTTTTTCAACCTTATAAACTTTACATTGCTTATGTAAGTTTCTTTTTTGAATTTGGTAACATAGAAAACTGTAAAACTATAACTATCTAGTCTTCAATTTCCATTAGAGACCCAAGAAGGATGAAATATAACTTGAGTAAAAAGGAAATGTAAAGAAAGCAACCTCCAAAACTATAGAAATTACAGAGACATCTGGCTGCCTGGACAGTCGCCCAAGTTTCCTCTGCAATGTTGCGGCATCCATCTTCAGCCTACAGGTCTAAAACATCTGACAGACTTTTCTGTAAAGCGGGAATTTTGAAGGACTGTCCTACCTTGTCTTTTGTGCCCTTATTGCCCAGCTCTGACAGCAACTGTCAGCAGTCGAGGCAAGGACACTCTCTTGCCCACATGGCTGGCTTTGCTGCTAAGAAAGCAAACCCCATATGGAGGTCCTTTGTTGTCCATCATCTTCTCTGAAGTAGATCGGTGCTGCCAGGAGCAGATGTGGTTTTTGTCATCAAAAGCCTTATGTTATTAAAACATCTTGAATGCCATATTCTGTAGGTCTCTGAAGCATTTGAAGATCACCTATCTATCTAAAACATATCTCTGACCTTGAAAACATACTTAACATGATAAGTTTATTATAGGTGACTAACTACTAACCTGCATTTCTTTATTATCCTAAATAGTTTGTAATAATAACTTTCAAGGAGTAGAAATTTACATTACATTGTTAAATGAGCTGCATTGGTACAATACCTTCAATAAGAGTAGAAACATATGTGCAGTGTGTTCTAAAAAATAACATTAAATTTGTATCAATATACAAAAATCCATACCAATGTAAAATATTTGCGACTAGTGGTTGCTCAAAAGTAGACTCGACAATCCACCCTTTTATCTCATTATTTTTATGCTACATCTTCCCTTTTTCTCTTCAGAAAGAGATCCCTGAATCTCCTTTGTTCAGTTTTTTTAAACCATGACCAATAACAATTTGTAACCAAGCCCCCTAAACAATGACAAACATCCATAGCCCACTGAATGACCAAAATCCACCTACCACATTTATTGAGAATGTGGGCATTGTGTTCCCTAGACTGTTTTCTTTTGTTTGGAGGCACTGGCATCTTTGGAGGATCCTGAGAAAATTAGGATAATGGTCAAGTCCTGGCTAAAATAATCTGTGAGGCTGGACCGTCTCAGCCAGCAACCTTGAAATGTTTTTGATGCAGAACTCTGAGGCAACAGAGGCACTCTGAGAGCCTGGGTCACCCTGACCACTCATTTTCATTGGTGTCTGGTCCCTTTACTCTGAAAACACATACACTTTGAAAGGTAACATACATATCTGCATTAACACAAGTATGGACTATGCACTGTATATAAGCCAGCCAAAGATAATTTTTTGTTTTACGTTTGAGCAGTTAAAATATACATCACTGCTGTGGATATTGCTCTGTATGCTGTGAATGTGTTGCTCTGATTGGTTAATAAATAAAATGCTGATTGGCCAGTAGCCAGGCAGGAAGTATAGGTGGGATAAGCAGACAAGGAGAATTCTTGGGAAGAGGAAGGCTGAGTGAGGAGATGCCAGCCCACCGTTCAGGGAGCAGCATGTAATGGCACACAGGTAAAGCCACAGGGCACGTGGTGACATATAGATTATGGGGTGTTTACCCACCAACCCCACAGCTCCCCAGAGTTTTCTTGAGTGCAAGCAGCAGGAAATATTAGATAGAAGGATTTATTGAGGAGAATATTGCAGAGATAAACAGAAAATAAAGGATAGCCTTGAGAGTGCCTGGAACCTATTCCAATGGGCCCTGACTGTCTCTGCCCCAGGGTTTTTATGAGATGCCAAGGGGTGGAGCAAAAGATCTCCTCCCCCAGCACAGCCAAGTGCAGACCATCTCAGACCCCTGCACTTAGGCCTGTGGTCCTAATCATCCTCCATGTGGACCTGCTGGGTAAAGCCACAAGGAACCCGAGAATGGGCTCCCACAATAGATGAACAGAAATGAGCTGAGTTTAAGTGTAAGAGCTAGTCAGTAGTAGGCCTGAACTAATGGCCAAGCAGTTTTAATTAATATATGCTTCTGTGTGTTTACTTGGGTCTGAGCGGTTGTGGACCCGGTGGGACACAGAAAAATTCAGCTACACATCATCTGTATTATAGTTTTTCTAGGTTTATTTCTTTATGTCTATAGCCAGGATTCGTGTGTGTGTGTGTGTGTGTGTGTGTGTGTGTGTGTGTGTGTGTGTGTGTGTGTGTGTGTGTGTGTGTGTGTGTGTGTGTGTGATTTTATTTTATTTTTGGTTTTTCAAGACAGGGTTCTCTGTGTAGCTTTGCGCCTTTCTGTGATTTTGATTTTTTTAAGAATTTTTTTATTCATTTTACATACCAACCACAGATCCCCCTCTCATGCCTCCTCCTGCTCCCCTTCAGCCTCTCCCTGCGCAGTCTGCCCCCCATACCCTCCTCCAAAAGGGTAAAGCCTCCCATGGGGAGTCAGCAAACCTGGTACATTCAGTTGAGGTAGGTTCAAGCCCCTTCCCCCTGCATCAAGGCTAACTAAGCAAGGCATTATAGGTAATGGGCTCCAGAAAGTCAGCCCATGCACCAGGTATAGATCCTAATTGCACTGCCAAGGGCCCCTCAAACAGACCAAGCTACACAACTATCTCCCATATGCAGAGGGTCTAGTCCAGTCCCATGCAGATTCCACAGGTGTTGGTCTAAAGGTCATGAGTTCCTATGAGCTTGGTACTAGATGAAGGCTCTATGATAACAGTCAAGGTATTCACCAGTCTGATTACTGGGGTAGGCCAGTTCAGGCACCCTCTCCACTATTGCGAGTAGTATTAATCTTGGGTCATCTTTGTGAAATCCTGGGAATTTCCTTAGCACCATGTTTCTCCCTTACCCCATAATGTCTCCCTCTATCAAGATAACTCTTTCATTGCTTTCCCACTCTGTCCCTTCTCCAGCTTGACCATCCTGTTCCTTTATGTTTCCACCCCCCATCCCCTCCCCTGTATCCCTCCCCATCCTCAGTTTACTCATGGAGACCTCATCTATTACCCCTCCCCAAGGCAATCCATGCATATCACTCTTAAGGTCCTCCCTGTTTCCTGGCTTCTCTGGAGCTGTGGGTTGTATGTAGTCTGATTATCCTTTGCTTTATATCTAGTATCCACTTATGAGTGAGTAAATACCTTGCTTGTCCTGAATCTGGATTACCTCACTCAGGATGATATTTTCTAGTTCCATCCATTTGCCTGCAAACCTCATGATGTCATTGTTTTTCTCTGCTGAGTAGTACTCCATTGTGTATATGTACCACATTTTCTTTATCCATTCTTCAGTTGAGGGGCATCTAGGTTGTTTCCAGGTTCTGACTATTATGAATAATGCTGTTATTGAACATAGTTGAGCAAGTGTCCTTGTGGTATGAGTGAGCATCCCTTGGGTATATGCCCAAGAGTGATATCATTGGGTCTTGAGGTAGACTGATGCCAAAATTTTCCAAGAAGTCATCATACTGATATCCAAAGTGGCTGTACATGTTTACACTCCCACCAACAGTGGAGGAGTGTTCCCCTTGCTCCACATCCTCTCCCACATAAGCTGTCATCAGTGTTTTTTATTTTAGCCATTCTGATAGGTGTAAGATGGTATCTCACAGTAATTTTGATTTGCATTTCCTTGATGACTAAGGATGTTGAACAATTCCTTAAATGTCTCTTGGCCATTTGAGATTCTTCTGTTGAGAATTCTCTGTTTAGATCTGTAGCCCATTTTTTAATTGGATTGGTATTTTGCTGTCTAGTTTTTGAGTTCTTTATATATTTTGGAAATAGCCCTCTGTCAGATGTGGAGATCTTTTCTCATTCTGTAGGCTGTTGTTTTGTTTTATTTACTGTGTACTTTGCCTTACAGAAGCTTCTCAGTTTCAGGAGGTCCCATTTATTGATTGTTGCTCTCAGTGTCTGTGCTACTGGTGTTATATTTAGGAAGTGATCTCCTGTGCCAATATGTTGTAGGCTACTTCCTACTTTCTCTTCTGTCAGGTTCAGTGTAGCTGGATTTATGTTGAGGTCTTTGATCCACATGGACTGGAGTTTTGTGCACGGTGACAGATATGGATCTATTTGCAGTCTTCTACATGTTGACATCCAGTTATGCCAGCACCATTTGTTGAAGATGGCTTTCTTTTTTCCATTGTACAGTTTTGATGTAGCCAGGATTTTAAGGGTGTCTTCCCTGATCAAATCTGATCTCTATCAACTTTGAATGAATCCACAGCCTTTTGTTTTCTGTGGAAACAAAAGCATAACCTCTTCTGCTGTGGGATGGTCTGTATGTCAAATCTGTTGCTCTGATTGGTCAATAAATAAAACATTGATTGGCCAGTGGCCAGGCAGGAAGTAGGTGGGACAAGGAGAGAGGAGAATTCTGGGAAGCAGAAGGCTGAGGCAGAGAGACACTGCCAGCTGCTGCCATGACCAGCAGCATGTGAAGACACCGGTAAGCCACCGACCACGTGGCAAGGTATAGATTTATGGAAATGGACTAATTTAAGCTATAAGAACAGTTAGCAAGAAGCCTGCCACGGCCATACAGTTTGTAAACAATATAAGTCTCTGTGTTTACTTGGTTGGGTCTGAGCAGCTGTGGGACTGGCGGGTGACAAAGATTTGTCCTGACTGTGGGCAAAGCAGAAAAACTCTAG